CGCCTCTCGCCCGCCTCTGGCACCCCTCCCCAGACCACCGTTCGGATCTATAAAATAGAGCCGCTTGAAGATAAGCAATATAGAGCCGCTGTTGCCAAAATAGAGCCGCAGCTTAAAAATGGAGCCGCCAGCCGGCTTCACGAAAACCAGCAAAACAGAGGTAATACGGGGTTTGAGCCAAAACAAGCGATGAGACACGACTGCTGCATATATGCACGAATGCATATACTTTTGTGCCGAAAAACGGCAGCAGTTTGTGCTACACAAATCGCAGATGCTCATGATTCTCGCCATTTGTGCCAGGAAACTCGTATTGAGCCACAAACTCGCTTGAGCCAACAAAACATTAGGGACATTAGGGTTTTGTATGGTATATGGATGAAACATTTTATGAAAATATAACGAATGGTAAGACAAAGCGCACACATCACTGTGTTTGAATGCTCCGGCTTCGGGTTCAGCAGGCTGGGGGCTTTATAGGGTTTGGAGCTGAGGGTTTAGAGCTTACATGTTCAGCCTAAGCCCTAAACCCCAGACTACGAAGCCCTAAGCGCTCGAGTTAGAGAGTTCAAGGCCTTGGGCTTTTGGGTTTTGGAGCTTCAGGCTTGAGGCTTTGGAGTCTTCGAGCTTTGGGGCTGGGTGCTTCAAGCCTTCAGAGTCTGGCGGTTTACTGGGTTTGTGCATTTTGTCCTTGAGGCCTAAACCCCAAGCCGACAGTATGTTATGCACTGCAATAAAGTTGCAACGGCTTTCGGATTTGAGGAATTCTTCGGTTGGGATTCGGGGGAGTGAGATCTTCCAACATCTTCCGACAATATTTTCGGTCGTTGAAGCCGCCTTCAGATATTATGGCCCTAAACCCTGAACTTTCAGAGCCCTGTGCCTATGACGGTTTGAGATGTCGAGCTCTGGATCGAAGGGCTCGAGTCAACACAGACACAAAGACCTGCACACTTACTTCAAACTTGACTTTCGAAGCCAAGATGTAGCACAAGCCTGTCGCCGACCTTAAAACATCCTTAACCCCTAAACCCAAGAAAACCCAACCCCCAATCCTTGGATTGTTGCTGCTGGCTCTTCTCGATCGGCGGTGCTGGAGCATGCAACTTGGCAGCTGTGCTGTGGGGCTTTGGCAGCATTTTATGTTGACCCTAAACCTTACAACATCTCAATACACAGCCCGGCCCACAGAACACGTCGCATGCAGCGGTGAGATCTAGGTCGGCTTCGCCGAAAGAGCTTTGCAAGTCGTCCATCATCCTGCGGCAAGAAGTTTACACTCAATAATGTCATGCTTTTCCAGAAGCCCAACCCAAATGTACGAGGAAATCTTAGAACCTTAGATTCCTAAATTACCCTAAACCTGAAAAGGTCATTTCGGCTTTCGGATTTCGGGTTTAGGTCCCCAAGGGTTGGGTTGAAAATAGCTATAGCCGTGGGGCCCGTTTCGAAACTCTAAACCCAAGCACATATACATAGCTCACTCCCCCTGGGTAAACCTGATTCAAGATGAAAGGAAAAATGCCGACAGCCCTTATCTTCGGATTCATCTTATATAATAAGGTTTGAAAACCGTGCCTCCAGAGCAATCCATGCCATCGCCAGTTCGCGACTCCGCTTTCACGGTTTCCAAAATCTGAAGTTTGCGATAGACAGCATAAGCCCAGCCTCGTCTGTGCACCGACCGACAGACTCTGGCAATCGCCCCATTGTAAGACTCATCCACGTATGTTGTGTATGTTCGCGGGTTGCCCTGTTCGACAGACCTCTGGATGCAGTGGTACATCAAATGGGCTTTGGGCAATATCGGAAGGCCAGCACGATTGCACAGTACGATGAAGCGGTTGTAATGCATCCTAAAAAAAGTTTTAGAATTATAGGGTTCAGGGGTCAAGGTTTGGACATGTGCGGGGCCTCGGAGCCCTTCTTCGACCAGTTCGGGTCAGTTTGCCGTCGCAGCTTGTAGTGGCTTTGTAGTTCAGCTCTCATGCAGAGCAAAGAAAGTTTGTTGAGCTCTTCTTTGTCTAGCCCCACGATTGATGGCTTCCAAATGTCAGTGTCCAAAAACCTTCTCAAAGTCACTGTGATAAAGGTAGATAGCGGCCCAAAATGCCACGTGTGAAGAAGGTCAATATTCCATGTGGCAAGGCTGACACCAGGTATCCGAAGAAAAGGGCTGTCGTGCAAAACCCTTCCATGCTCACCACCAAGGTAAAACTGGCAGATAAAGGGAGTAGTCATGCTATCGAAAAGTGCAACATCAGGCATTGCAGCTGACGGCTCCAGGCGGCTGCCCTTCGGGAGGCCCAGAGCAGGGAAAGCCTTCGACAAAGTTCGGCCCCGGGTCTTTCGGCGATAAATCAAAATCCTATAGAGCTTCTGCCGCATGTCGTCGTTGGCGACGGTGACTTCCTTCTGGGACATTGAGGGTTTAGGGTTCATTTCAGGGTTTAGGGCTTAAGGCTCCAAAGAAGTTGCTAAAAAAACCCTAACAAACTCGACCCTAAAACCGCCAGCCTTGAAGTTCTGTCTCATGTACTGGTTCATTGCAGCATCGTCAAACAGTGGATGCGGGCACGTCCTCAGAGTCCAGTTGCCCAGCACTTCAGTGAGTTGAGATTTCTTGCAGAGGCAGCACGGGCAACAGTGTTCATTGTGACTCCAGGTTCGCAGACCACAAATTTCGGCCAAGGCTGGCCAATCGGCCTTAAAATCAACCACTGCCAGCCGTAGATCTTCATGGCTAGCAGAAACATCCTCGCGGAAAGCCTCCAGGAGTGGCCAGACGGAGCACCAGCCCCTGCAGCCGCACTGGCATAGATCTGAGAGTCCTGCCAATAATCGTTCCCTTAAACCATAGACTCCCTAGAGCCCTAGACCCTATAGACCCTAAGCCCCAAGCCCTATAGAAAAGCTAGAAACAATTTCTTGGAAAGCAAGACACTGAGCAGCCAGACGAGTCGCTGTTGTTTTGGTGCCCGGAGATTAGTAATATAAAATCCCAAGAAGTTCTCGTTCTTGCTGTACTGGACACCATCAAAGTAAACAGATATTGGCACGACACACTCGCGGGGAATCCCTTCGCTCAGGGCTTGCACTGTGACCGGGTGCTTTTCGTAGCGGTCGCCAAGATCTCTATCATTACGAAGGAACATATCCACAGCGGTTTTGCAAGGCTTTGAGGTTCCTAGGAAGTTCAAGGATTTCAGCTCCTCACGAATCATATCCGAAGCAAGACGAACTGGGTGCTTCATGGATGTCCTGAGAACCTGGTGCTTCGGATTCATAGGAACTGTAATCCATTGTACACGAGGTTCCGGAAATTCCTTTCGTAGGTGGCACCTTACGGATTGATGGTGTTGTTCAGGGATTTAGCCGAAATTGGGTTTGTATGAAAATTGTTCATCACCCGGATAGTAACTGGGCTTCGGGCTTTAGGGTACGGGTGCTTTTGGGGTTTGTTTCGGCGTGAGAATCAAAGGCAGCTTGAGGCACTTCAAGTGTTGGGAACCATGGATCGTAGCTTGGTCAGGCGGTAGTGCTAGATCTTCGGCGCCTGCACCTCCACTTTCGGTATGATAATAAGCCAGCAAGCAGCAGTCGGCGGCGGTGATTGAGCCTTCGGTGTATCTCTCCAGCAGAAAAGATCTAAACGTGGCACCAGATTTGTGCAGAGCAGCCCGGTCGTCTTCACGATCCCATCTGTCATCAAGACCATAGGCAGAGGCCGAAAGTTCAGCCCTTTTTCGCTTGAGCGACATGCAGCCAAGGGCGTGCCATCAGCAGCTGCATCGGCGAGGAGTGCAGTGTTGCAAGCGGTGGGTTTAGGAGTTTAGTGCCTTTGAAAGTTTTGGTTGGGATTGCGAATTTCGCTTGAGGGTTTCTGTTCGAGGTCTCATTCGGATCTAAACTCATTTTGCTACAGTTGTGTAGTAGCACGTGATGAAAGATCCTAGTTAAGATTTCGCGAAAGCAGCTGCTACTCGGATCTCGGCCCGATACTACAGCAGTTCCAAACCATGCCGTCATGATGCATCGCACTGCCTCAGCACAGAGTTCTGCAACAACTGGCATGCGTGGATTTGCACGACTCACGAAACATGTTGCCTGGGATATCTCGTACTCAGACCTACAGCACCACAGGCTCTTGCATCAGCTTTCTAATAGTGGCGTCAATAAGGGTCATTGCACAACACGTGGACCTAAGGGTGCAACCTGCAACTGATCTTGAACACATCTCGCTATATGGATTGTCTGCAGAAACCTCAAGCGTGGACAGTAGCATCATCTGTTTGTTCCGACACAAGATGCATCAGCGTGCGATTGAGGATGCCGGCCTGTTGCCAAGCTCCCCAAAAGTCCCCAGCTAACTCCGATTATCGTGAGATAATAGCACCCAGCAAGCAGCAGCAGCTAGGTTCGATCACAAGCCTTCTTCTCGTATTCCAACAGCTTGGGACCTTAAGAGCCCTAACCTTAAATCTGAGCCCCTAAGCTTAGACCCAAAGAAGAACAAAGACCATGCCGAAGCTCCTGACACAAGCGGAATTGATTCTAATAAGGTCGGAACATGTATCAGTTGATACTGTAGGAATCTAAGCAGAATCTAGGGCAGCTGAAGATGAAAGCTTTCAGGACCGCGGTTTTATCGGAGGCGGCCATTATCGAAACCGCGGATCGGATGCGGAAAGGTCGGGGGATACTGGGCTCCGGGTTTAAGCTTATGGGGGACCCCGAACTATATCAAACCCTATAAAGCATAAAACCTGAAGCCAAAACCTAGAGTCCTAGAGCCTAAACCCCACAACCGGCAAGCTCAAATCTTAACTCGTATTACGTATAGCAATGCAAGGCTTAAACTCTAAACCCTAAGCCCATAACCTAACTATAAGCTCTAGCCCCAAGACTCGACCAGACTGACTAAATAGCGAGGATCCAGATTTCAGACTGCGACCGAACTGTGCAGCTAGCCTGCACCCCTTGCCACAAGCTGGAAAAGCCTACACTACAGACGGCAGGGATCTAGTGGAAGCGGTTCGTTTGATGCCCTTACCCTTGGCCTTAGCCTTTGGCTTGCTGGCACTCTTGAGAGCGTCTGCGGCCGAAAGTTTGGCACTCGCCATTTGCTCAATTTGGAAGGCTGCCTCGGCCATCTTGGTGATCGGCGGCCCCAGGACAGTGACAAACTCCACCAGCTTGCCCACGTAGCCGTCGCCGTGCTCCTTCTTGATCTTTGCACTCTCCTTGGGGCTGAGGGCTGCCACCTTGAGCGATTGGAAGTCAGGGTTGTCGCAGTAGAGCTTGAGAACCTCAGTGCGAAAGTTCTTGTAGGAGGCCAGCAGGTCAGAAGCCCAAGTCCAGCCATCGGGGTTTTTTGCTTTCTCATGCATCACACGGCCGATGGCCACATCTGAGCTTTGTTCCATTGCCAGGAACTCTTTCACTTCCTTCTCTTTCTTAGGGCCTGTCTGGTCCTTCTTGGTTTTGGTTTTCGGGTTCGGAGTGTCAGAGCCGTCCGGGCCAGGACTTCCATTGCCATCGGCTTCCTCAGCCGCCTGCTTGGTTCTCTTATTGGCTCTGCCTGCTTCAACAGCATCCTTTCCAGTCTTGGTGAAGGCTGCGTTGTTGCTGCCATCCTTCCTCGGGAAGTTTGCTTGGGCTTCGGGGGACATGGTCTTGTAGAGCTCGGCGTAGCCCTTGATACCCAAAGTAGTCTCGGCAACATCCTTTTCAGAGACCTGGTTAAGAGGCTTCTGCATCGCATGAGCATAAGCACGTAGTGCTTGGCACACATTGACCTTCTCGGCGAGGCTGTTGGGCACAGTCTCCCTAGTTTCCACTGTGACCGTGTTGGTCCACTGCTGCTCGTTGCTCGATGAAATCAACGTCTCCACCCAAAAATAGGTCATGGCATCCAACCAATCATTGTAGAGGGTGCAGAACTCCTGCGTTCAAGACAGACACCAGGGCCCAAGTACATGGAAAACCCGAAGCCCTGAACCCACAACCCCTATCCCGAACCCTAGCTCTCTATAAAAGGCTTTAGGTTCAGGGCTTCCAGTTGATGGTTGTAGGATAGGTTAACAGAGGGGCAGCTTATATTATGTATACGTTAGGGTCTGGGGTCCACTACAAGTTTGAGGCAGGTTAGCTTTTGGGGTGTGGGGTCACGAAGTTGAGAAAGCTTTCGTCCTTCAAGCCCGGTCGTGAGCACATAGCAATGTAGCGATCCGCCTGCCTCACTGCTTCAGGTTGATCGGTGCCGCCGAGGATGTTGACCAACTGAAGCTTGGTAACAAACTTTCCGATTTCATCACGTCTTTTTCTGAAAGACGTAGAGGTGGTACGAGTCGTGACCATAAAGTCGAAAGACTTGGTAGCCGTCCAAGCACGTCGAAACTCGAGCTTCATCGCATCGGTGAGTACCATGTAAGCGGCACTCATGTCTGGTCGCCACTTCATGGCTCGCTTCATCTGCTGAGCATGCGAGCCACGGGCCGAAAGATCTTCCTTTTGCGTAGCCCAGAACATGATGCCTTCGGTAGAGTCGATCACCTGCTTCTTCGTCACTGCCGACACATCTAGCTTGTGGTACGAAGCAAAGTTGACGATGGCCTTTTGCACATCTCGCACACCTTGCTCGTCTCCATCACCACCAGTAGACGTAGATGCTGGATTTGTCTGCAAAGCCGAGGAAGCACCTGCCTGGGAAGCACCATCGGCCTGCGGCTCTGCGTGGGAAGCACCATCGGCCTGCGGCTCTTCTGCCTGGGAAGCACCATCGGCCTGTGGCTCTGCCTGGGAAGCACCATTGGCCTGCTGCTCCTGAGTCTCCACCACCAGAGTTTGGGTCTCTTGCGTGGAGGGGTCTTCAGCAAGCACTAAGGTAGGAGCATCCGAATAAGGGCAGCCATGCTACTTGAACGGGCTAGCAAGGATCTAGGGATTGCCAGGGCGACCCGGTTTCGGGTGCTACACTGCTAAGCTTCTCCAGCTCGAGTTCCAGCATTTGCGTGGGTTGAGTCTTTTATCGATTCACACCACTGCAGATAGAGGAATAATTGGTGTTTGGCATCACGGAAACAGCTCAAAAGGGCTCATCGGGGGCTCATCGGGGGCTCATCGGGGGGGTCATCGGGGGGGGTTCTGCCGGAGCTCATTGCTATAGCGTGGCTTAACATCACCGGAGTTCATCACGTCTTGTCCCTAGGCTCATCGGGGGGCTCATCGGGTGGCTCATTGGCTTGACGGGTGCACCGGAGCTCATTTTTGACTGCTGCTTTAATAACACCGGAGATCATTGGGTTATGTTGGGTTTTGTAGATTTAGCTACTTTAGATCCATTTCAGTAAAATAGATCCAATCTAGCTGATTTAGATCCAATTTAATTGATTTAGATCCAGTTTAGCTGATTTAGATCCAATTTAGCTGTTTTAGATCCAATCTAGCTGGTTTAGATACACAGCAATAAATGGTTTGGATCCCGTATATCCTGTCTAGTTCATCTAGATCCCACGGCTCGTTGAGATCCTATTTCCTCGACTCGGCGGCAGTGCGGCGTATTGCGGATAGCAGTGCCCACGAAGCACAAGACCCGGCCAAGGATCCAATCTAGCAGCCGTATGGTACATATTTTGCTATATAGAGCCGACATATATAGCAACTGTACTACATAAATAAGAGTAAACCCGAAATCCTGAATCCCAGCGGCGGGTTAGCTCGAATCGATCGCTGATCGATTGGATCCCGGTGATGCAGAGCGAGCAGCATATGCTGGATAGAGCAGATCCTATATATCTGGCCTATTCTATAATTATACATATATATACACATATATAATAAATATGCGTATAAGTACAAACCACTGTCCTGAGAACACAGACTGCTCTAGTATATAAAGGATCTGCATCGTCGGCGGGTGGGGGCTCCTATATCTGCAATATACACCCTCTACAGCTAATTTAGATCCGATTTGAGGCTGGTTTAGATCCATCTAGCTAATTTAAATTCAATGTACCGGATAGATCCTGTAACTCACCGGTATATAGATCTATAGTATTAACCCATGGATCCTGGGAAATCCTGTCTGTACACAATATAGATCCAAAATCCCCACAATATAGATCCCCAAACTAGCTCTTCAAATCCAATGTACCCGATGGATCCTGCAAATAGCCCCTCAAATACCATCGCTATCTAAACCATCAATATATAAAGTGTAGCGTATAAGGTACAAGAATAACACGTTCCCAAGCCTAGCTCCTCAAACCAAATCGTCATCGATCTATAAATACAGTTGGAGCATATGGGGTGGTTTGCTTGTCTGCGGGAGCTCTACGTGCTATATACTATATCGATATTAATAACTATATATCTATATATCTATCTATCGTCTATTATAAAGATGTATATAGATATATATATGTAGCTGCTAGAACGTACCAACTCGATCGATCCTGCTTTCAACAGTTTCAGCATATGTAAAAATAGACTACTAGATCAAAAACTCACACCAATAACATAGTTCCACGTACTAAAATGGATCCCATAATACTGCTCCTCAAACCCAACATAAGATGGATCCCATACCTATATAGCTCTAATCCGCAATGTAACCAATAGATCCTGATTGGATCCCTCTTATACCTGCCTGAAACGTGGATCCACGTATCTATCACTCGATCGTCAAAACCAAGCTACCAAACAGATCCCAAACCTAGCTTCTCTATAGCTTCCATTAATTCTTGGGGATGGGTTATCATTACCTTTATTACATATCTAAGGTACGTGCCCTGGATCCCACCGCCTGCGTGCACAGCGTGCTGCGGGCTCCGGCTGCAAGAGCTCACGACTTAAAGCAAACCACAAAAGCCTGGAGTCCTCATCTGTACATACCAGTACCTAGCACCCGGTGAAGTGGTGTTGGAAACTTCGATGGTCTAGGGACCGAAATTGAGACAAGAACTGGATCTACCTTTGGGGCAGGGTGCTATTTCGTATAGGGGTTTTGGGGTAGCTTGAAGGCCATGTGGCTGCAAGATTCAGATCCAGCTGGTTCTAAAGGGTTGGGGCTTAGGGGTTTAAAGCTTTAGTCTCCAGGGTCTCTGAGGGCACACCACACCGGCTCCTACACGGCAAGGATCAGCTGCCACTCATCAGCGGCCGGGATTCGAGCTGCCTTGGATTGGGGCATGGGTTCGAGGTTTGAGCTTCAGTACTTCTGGGGAAGCCAGAATCGAACTTCAGAGCCTGGAGACACGGAGCTATGCATCGGTTGTTTATAACGATGGAGCCTCAAAGTTTAGTGCCACACATTGCTTATATGTGTCTATACGTATTTATACACATATATTTGTTTGTGTGCCTGTGTGTACACATGTATATGTACATATATTAGCAGAAAAGCTCTTCCCAGATCTCCTGCGGATTCAGTGCCGGACAAGCCTAAAGCGTGAAACCTTCAACCATCTTTCAAACCACTATTTCCGAACACCTGGTGAGCTCAGGATATACAGCTCCGGGTTTAGGGGTTTAGGGTTTTAGGGGTTTAGGTAAAGTTTAAGGCAACGGGTTTCAGGTTAAGGGCTAAGATGGATTTCATGATGCCCCCCAAATCAGGTTCCAGCTGCTCGCCAGCCGGCTGTAAGCGGCATCTGCTTCGTGCAAAATGCACCTGGGCAGGACCTGTGCGTGGGAATGTTCCGGGCTTGACATCATATTGGAACTCGGGCACTGTAACAAGCTACAGATCGAATGCCCCTGCTTGTCCCGGCAATGTTGCAGTCATGTGGCTTCGATCATCAGTCCTCCTCGTCTTCGTTGTCAGGCTCCTGCGAAACCAGGACATAGATTGCTTGGTAAAGCTTAGGATTTTCGAGTTCGAGGTTTTGGGGTTAAGGCTCCAGAGTTTGGGGGTTTATCCGGGCTCCTCATCCTCATCCGCCTCTTCGGCGAGCGACTTCTCCTCGTGAGGAGCCAGGGCCCTTTGGGGCGACGGACACCTGAGCAAGGATCATGGTTTAGGATTTAGGGTTTGAGCTTTGGGGTTTAGGGGTCTAGGGTTTCAGGGTTTAAGACCTTAGCTATATGTAGGGATCAGGTTTGAGGGCTTGCGGTGCAGCAGCAGTCTGTGTCCATCTAGCAGGGGCCAGTTGTTGAAGAGGCCTTATATAGGTGTACTAACGAAAACACGAAAAGTAAAAGCAGCGAAGCCCCGAGTAAAAAGGTTACAGTAACTGAAGTAAAATAGAGCATCGTCGGTGCCGGAGGGAAAGCATCCTTCATCTGCTTGGAAAGAAGCTCCCATGACATCTTCGATGCGGCAAAGTCGTGTGTGCCATTTTGCCACATTTCGATCAAGTTGTTTCTGCACTGCTTGAAGTCCAACAGCCCTTGATTGAGGTTGAGGTGCTCATAGCAGTCACAAAATGTCGAGCAGATGTTCATTCCTACGGTGGCCGTCATGTCGCCTTTCACCACAACCTGTAGTCGCTGCTTCCATGCCGACGACAGATTGTACCGGTCGCACCGAGCTTCCACTTTTATTATGGGCGAGCATTTGCCCTGTTTGGAGAACTTCGCCCGGATCGTCGGCAGGCAGTAGTCTGGCACAGGCTTATCCGAAGCCGGTCGAGGTGCCTTATTGGGCTTCTTAGGTACGGACATCACAGACCCACCAGCGGAAGCGAACTTCGCGAGATCGGCAGGGATCAGTGGCGGCATCCATTCGGTCCCATCGTCAAACACCACAACCACCGAGCCAGCCTCATTCAGGCTCGGTTGCCCGGAAACATCCGTGCCCTTCTTCATCTGGCGACAAGCCTTTCCTAAAGTTTCCTCCCACCATATGTCGCCCTCCTTCCGGGTGATGGCGGGCTTCTCCTTCTCGGGCTTCTGCTGGGAAGAAGCGGGCTTCTCCTTCTCGGGTTTCTTTTCCGGCGCGGACTTCTCCTTCTCGGGGTTCTTTTGCGGTGCGGACTTCTCCTTCTCGGGGTTCCTTTGCGGTGGTGCGGACTTCTCCTTCTCGGGCTTCTTTTGCGGTGGTGCGGGCTTCTCCTTCTCGGGTTCCTTTTGCGGTGGTGCGGGCTTTTCGTTCTCGGTCTTCCGCTTGAGGCTGCTGGGTCTCGACGTCTTGACAGCGGGCTAATAGACATACGGGGTAATACGGAGTAGCCAATAGACATAATAAAGACAAATAAGACCCGAAAGTAAAACTAGGATCACTAAAAACCTTAGTTTAGGCCTCTTAGTGTTCTTTGAGGGCTTCACCTAGGGCCTTAAATTATTAAAATCTTGTATCTCGAGGAGGATCGCCGATGGCCTGCGGCTGCGGCGTCATGGAGAAAGCCACTGCACCTGGGCTCAGGGACTGAATCAGTCCGTCATCGTGGCACGGCTGGGCGGGACTTTACATGCTTTCTGATCGGAGCAGGGGATTCATGGCTTGATCACAATGTTGGGAACGGTGCTCTAAATAAGGACAGTATGCTTGTTTTGTCCAGCATTCAGCTCTGACTTTGGCTGCAAGTGCACCCTGTTTTCGGCACTGAACGAAACAACGGCCAATGCCTATATGTGTAGCTGGCTAATAATAAGGTATCGAGAAAAAGTGGCCGACGTTGATAGTGCACTCGCATACATTAATAGCCCCGTACTACATAAACAAACCAGGGTCCTGGCTCTTGCGAAACCGATTCCCCCCCTCCCGCTTCATTTGCACAGCGGGGGTTTGCACCCCATGTCAGAATCAAGGAAGATTCCATGATACCTGCCGACTCCCCGTGCTGAAGTATGCAAACGACAAACATAGAACACCACCGACCCTCAAGCTCGTAGCCGTAGGCAGGATTTTCCCACCTGTGAAGCGGGCTTCGTGTGAGCCCAATTTTGAATTGTTTCTCAGCAGCCAAGATCCCTATGACTTCGTGGGCGTGAGCGAGCAATTTGCTGCTCAGAACTGCATCGGGCAGAACTCGGAGATGAATGGCTGGATGAGCAAGGATGTCGTTCACTGCAGAGGCCAGGCCAGGCATGTCATGAAGTGACTTGGGAACATAAGTTTTCCAATAGTTCGTCGAAGCCAGCCTTCCAGATGCACGGCGGGTCTGCAGTCGTATAAGCTGTGGTCGCACTATTATTGAAGCATCCCTGCTGACTTGGGTAGGACTAGATGGCGTAGATACGGTCACATGCGGTGTTTCAGCAGTCGTCGTGCTCTCTCCAGCAGAGGACATCATGCTATCTTCGTCCCATTGCAGCAGCTCTCGTAGCCATTCGTCGTCAGAATCATCTGTTACCATTGCGGATCCGAGATTTCAAGGCTACAGAAACAAACCTAAGGCCGCGAAGCTGTTTGCGAGGAAGCTTTCTGGTTGAAAGGATCAAGCCCTGAAAATGGAACCCGAAATCCTGAAGAGCAAACCCCCACTCATACCATGTATCATCTGCACGAGCCGAAACTTTACACCGATAATGCGTGCCCGCAACCCGAGCCCTCGAAATCAAAGACTCTTGATTGATTTTAGGGTTTAGGGTCTGGGGTTCGGATTGACGAAGATAGCTGAGACAGGCACTCACGGTCGGGTCGTTGCCCCCCAGCATGTCATCGAAGGCATTCATGAACCAATCGTTCTGCAGGAACGCCTCGTGTTCCTCCTGGGCTGCCAAGGCAGGTCTTACCGCTGGTTGGAAATTCGTCAATATATGTGAAGGGTGCTACGGCTATAGGTTGCGAGGCTATTTAGTAGTCAAGCCCCGCAAGAGGAGTTAACTGAGCCTGAAGACTGGGACCTCTTTTCGTTCCAAGGCCCCGAAGCACTTACCCAAACCAGCAATAAGCAGCTACACGTGCTATCCAGGTATCAGTCACTGGACCAACAGGCTCACATGCTTGTCTCGGCTTCTGCTTGCAGCTTGCTGCACTTCTTCGTCTGGCTGTTGGGTCGCTTGCTGTGCTTTGCTTGTTGGTGGCTTCTTTGAAACCTTGCTTGCCGGCTTGCGTAAGACAGGCTTGTTGCTACTGCTAGATCTATCTGACTCGCCACTGCTGGAGCTGCTGCTGTCGCTGCTGCTCGTGCTGGGGCTGCTTATGTCGGGGCAATCGTCATCCATGTCTTCGCCTGCAGGCTCGTTTGCGCTTTGCTCGGCTGGCTGCTGGGATTCGCTTGCGACCTGGGTGGCAGCGGGATCCTTTTGCTTCCCAGTCTTTCGTCTGCATGTCACGGTCCCGGCTTCCCGGTTGGAGTTTGTAGTCTGCTGAGAAGTCTTCTGCTTCTTCGGCTTCCCATTCCAGTGAGCCTGGGGGTTACACATGTTAAAAGTCCTTCAGTGGCCGAGAGAATTCAGTAATCTTTCGCCAACGAGCCTCAGGGACCCATTTCCTGCACCTCAAAGCTGATTGTGAATAATGTCTAAACATCGCTGAGCACCTCAATGTACACGTCGTGGCCCAACCATCTCTATCCACCTCTCGAATCTCTTCCTTCAGCTCATGGTGGTCCTCTCTCACTTGCCTTGGTATTCTAGCATATACATAAATGCATAGGTTGTTACCAGCCAACATAAGGATAGAAAACTGAGAATTTGAGTCTGTCCTCGCTCTTGAAAAGCATGAGTAGAACTTTCTTTATGATGGTATCAGGAAAATTCCAGGTGCGACTGAGGGATCGTGTCGACGAAAGAAGGCCTTGATAGAACCTCGACTCACGGACCACGGCAACAAATTACAAAACAGTGTCCTAAATGCAGCACGATCGAGAAAACAGCACAACAAAATGACGCCGAATCCGTGCTAGTGCACTTGTTCGTGAGTTTGTGCCTCTGGATGTTCTTGATTTGTCTGGCAGACGTGTAGTTCATGTCGTGTCGTTTCTTGATGAAGGGTGCCAAACAGGAGGACAAAAGCTTAGCATCCTTGAAACCTGGCTGTCTGTGTGCCTGCACTGGCAACGGCTCCTCATCTTTCTCATCATCATCCCCATCGTCCAAGCATGCAGCTGGTCGCTTCTTCGGCATGGCTGCTAGCACAGCAGTCTTACTCCTGCCTACACATGTTCTCGTGCCCTGCGGCATGCGGCCCATGCCGCAAATGTCAGCCTAGGCATTTGGTGGGCTGCTGACTGCACTATTGCTGTGTACGACCATCGGAGAAGAAAAGTGAGCCCTTCAAGAACTCAGTCTGCACACTCTCGGGCCCTGATAAGCCTGGCCGGCAGTCGGCAGGGCAGGTGCAATTCGCATTTGCCGAATACGGGAGAGAATGCACCTGTTTCTATCTTGAATATGTCAGTGTAGACATGTATATATATATATATAAATACATATATGCATATATCCAGAGATATATGTACGGACGAACGAGTATGTATGCAGAGAGGCATGACCCTATAAGTGGGCCAGTGTCTCTCTGTCTGTATTTTTAGGGAACTTAAGGTTTTTTTTCCCGCAGGTTTGAGCCGACTTAGGGACTTAGGGGTTTTCTCCCGGACTTGAGCCAGTTTAGGGTTTATTTCCTCCAGCAGAATCGAAACAAGGACCATGCTCGATAAAAGCTATATTTTGCTCAAAGTACAGCTTTGCTGCAAAATAGAGCCGCCATGCTAAAATAGAGCCGCTGTTGCTATAATAGAAACCCTGGATCGAGTGGATCTATTTTATAGATCCGATCGGTGGTCTGGGTCTGCGCGCCTTCGCGCGCTTCGCGCGGCTTCGCGCGCTTCGCGCGCTCCGCGCGCCTCCGCGCGCCTCTGCGCGCCTTCGCGGGCTTCGCGCTCTTCGCGCCGTTTCGCGCCTCTCGCGCGCCTCGCCCCTCCGCGCGCCTTCGCGCGCTTCGCGCGGCTTCGCGCCGTTCCGCGCGCCGCTCTTCGCGCGTTTCGCGCTGCTTTTTGCGCGCTTCGCGCCCTTCGCACGCCCCGCGCTTCGCGCGCTTCACACGCGCCCTTCGCGCGGGTTTCGCGCGGGACTTTGTGCGTGCATATATATAGAGCCCACGTGCATGCATCCATGTGCGAAAAGTGTTGTTTCAACGAACGTATTCTTCATGTGAAGCTGCATACTCCGAACTTGGGGCGTTTACCGAGGCTGGCCGGCTTGCAAGCACATGTTGGTCTGTATAGTCGACTCGAAGTAGTCCCGAAATCCATATGGCGCTGTGGACCTCTAAAAACATTTTGAACAACAACAACTACTACTATTTTCAATTGAACGCTGCGCGAGCGTGCTCTGCGCTTTGCGGGCGCCTTTGGTCTCATGCACTCGTGAAACTGCTTCTAGCTTGCATCGCTCAGGTCTCTCTAATCAGCTCGAACTGGACATACTACTGCAACTGCTACTGCTACAAAAAAGCTTCCTTCTCCGACACCTTGGTGTGAACAGACGCGTCCATCTGTGCACCTGTCTCAACAATTAGGCCGTACCTCAGAGGAAGCCGCCACCTGGAGTATCCGTCTCGTGGCGTCCCACACGGATTACTCATGTTGAAGACAGAAGGCCGTAAGGGTCATGTGCGGATGACCGCTAGTACCTGAAGCAACTTCGGTGGCGTGAGTCTTTGGGCAGCTATGATGCTGGCAATTCGCTGAAGCGCAAAGTGCTGTTTTAAGCGAGGCTAGCACGCGATTCACATTCTTCCGAAGAGATGTGCTAGGCGTCGGAAGAGTGCCGAATTCCCTGAGTCTGTGACATAAGGGATCATAGAGTCTGTGACATATTACCGCCCTCACTGGTCATGACCTTTTGGCCACTGCTGAGAGTATCCATGCCAGGACCACTGCTGCCACCAGTCCCAGTCGTCGTCCTGAGATGAGCGTGCCTGTCTGGCCCACTGGGACGAGGAGGATGAGGAGGGGCCATCGCGCTGCCGCTTGCCCTCTGTGTCAGCCTCCTGCATCTGTGGGCGCTTGTGAGGTGCAGCAGCAGCCAGCTTGGCCATGCGCTTGTCCTCTTCGTTCCCCTTGTCATGCTGTATCCGCATCTTCATGATGGAGTAGGCATTTTTGTCGGGTTTGACCCGGAAGACACGAGCTGGGAGTCCAGCTGATTTGGCAGTCTCATTGTAGACTGCCACTATGGTGGTGGCGATCATATTGAACTCGACCCACGAGGGGAAGTGCTGCCGAAAGGCCTTTTCGTCCCACATCTTGTTAAAGCAGGCATGGATAAGGCCATGCACTTTTGTTGGTGCGTCCAGCTCACGGTAGGCGTCACCCGCGCCTGTGGCGATGGTGACCTTCCCATCGCTTGTGAGGACCCGCCTCACCGACATGGCGGTGTCCCATGTGAGGCCGGTTTGCGTCCTTACGGACTTGATGGCAGAGAACAGCGGCGGAACTTCTCGGAGTGCTTCCATCCTGGTAGACCAAAGGGTCTGTTGTTCCTGGTTGGTGAGGCCGCCAAGAATGACCGGAGCCACCAGGATGTTGATGGAAGCTAAGGCCCGAATCCAGTCTTGATGGGACTGGGAGCTCAGCAGCTGAGCCAGCTCCTGCCGCGTGTAACGTACTGTCAGCCGTGGAGCCGGCTGTGGGACATAGCCGACGAGTTCCGCATTGGATTCCGGAGGCTCATATGCTGACGGGGGGCGGGAAGAGGGAGGAGGGGGCGTGTGGGAGCGCGGAGCGGCCTGGGTGGCGGGGGTTGGAGGAGAGACGGACTTGGGGGGGTGCGGAAGGATCGGGGGAACCGGAATCGCAGGAGGGGGGGCTGGTGCCGCCGATGAAGAAGAGGGCGGGGGGCATTGGGTGGCCACCATGGGCGGTGGGGCCTTAACCGGAAGCGCCGGGGCCGCCTTCGGTGTCTCTGCTTGGCCTGCTTTGAAGGCCGCCTTTTCAGCTGCTGAGGAAGTGAAAGGGCACGGGGGGGAGGGTGGCGGCTCAAAGCCGGCTGCTTTGTCTACACCTTTGGTCCTGGTACTGCTGGGGGGAAGAGGAATTTCCTGTGGGAGCTTGGGGGGAGGAGGAGGGGGGGGAGTGTGGGGGTCTGGCGTGGCACTGAGTGCTGGGTTGTGCTTCTGAGTGACAAAGTGGTTCTTAAGGCCGTGGCTAGTGCTGAATTGCACCTGCCTGTTGTGCTTGCGGCAGTGCAAGCAGCATAGCCACATGTCCCCCGAGACTTTCACTTGCCCTAATCCTCGAGGGATAAGCTCCAGCACATCCTGCTCTGTAAGGTCTTGATTGTAGTGGTGGGTTTCACGGACCGTAGCCATGATCTCTGCAAAGGAGTTGTACTGGATGCTGTCGGCCACATAGGCTTCAATATCCTCCTGAGTGGGAGGAGGGGGAGCCGATGAGGCGGTTGCCATGGTCTGTGACCTAGGTGGCTGTGGTGAGCTGTGCTCTTCAGGTCTGTCAGACTGGATTTCAAGGGAGATGTCAGGGAGTTGGCTCTGCAGCATGCGGTCTGTGCGTTCCTTGGTGGTTGGGTCTCCCTGAAATCCCTTCAGCCACTTCCAGCACCGGGTATATGCAACGGTCGTGTTGTTGGTAGTCACGAAGTAGTGGCCATCATTGTCGTACTTCTTGTTCTTCACTCGCTTGTCCCAGCGCTCCGAGAACAGGTAGATGGGGCCAAATTTGGTGGAAACATTCCATCCCGGCTGAGGGGAGTGACCAAGGTCGCGACCCAAGATCTGCCAAAGATATTTGCAGAAGGTCATGTATTCCAAGTTTGCCTTCGCTGTCATAACCTGACGGCTGAAGGCGTGCTGTATGGCTTCCCTCATCAAGGGGTGTCTGGGCTTGCCATAGATGATGCCTTGAAAAATATGATCTCCTTTGACTCCTATGGCCATGACCATGAACTCCTGTGGGAGTTGGCCAGGTGGGGAGGGTCTGTGACCCACTTCACCTGCCTTCTTTGAGTGAGCTGTGCTCCAATCTGCTGCGAGATACACGAGTACCTGTTCCCAAGGTACCACGAAGCCACATTTGATGTCGACGTAGAGGCCGCCGTGCTGGTAGTGGTAGACGTAGCGGAATACGTCTGCTCGATGAGCAGGTTGGCTGAGGCGATCCAGCAGATTGGAGCCGTACTTTCCTGCGAGTTGCCGCAGGGTAGCCCGAAGAACATCATCATCACAGAATCTGCGGGTGAAGCCAGCAAACATTTTGGCCGCGACTTGGGCCGGTTCCGGCTTTTCGTCGTGAACGTAGGTCTGGAAGAGGAGGGCTGGGACAGGGGCGGCTTCCCATTCTGGGAGATGTGTGAAGCGCATTCCCCAGGGGCCATGTCCGTATTGCATGGCTACCTCTGAAAGATCACGGACCGTTCGGCATTGTGACAGAGCCTGGGCAGCTAGCATTTCGACATGCATGTCCTGCTCGCGAGCGTTCCAACCAGCGACCACGAGGACAGGCAGTCCTGGGGTGTTGCGCATTTCCTCGATGGCTCTGGTTACAAGCGCCGGGATGACAATGTCCGCGACGTCGGGGCGGAAGTGAAGGTTCTTGGAGTTGTAGAGCCATTCTACCCCTCCTACACCAGGCATCTGGGCCAGGTCCATGATTTCTTGGTTGTGCAGGTTCTTGTCCGCAAAACCATATTGGACCCTGCCATCGATCAGGTAGTCATAATTGATTTGCTTCTCCGGGCGCAGGCTTCGGGACAGCGGAATGAAGCGAACGTTGATTTGTCCGTCGAGGTGGTTCTCCAAGATGGAGGCCACCGGCGGACTCTGCACTGCCGCTGTGAATTTGTGCGGCCCAAAGAGCCCAAATTGCCAGTGGAGGAGCTCCAAGATGGAGGGGACGCTGCCGGCAGAAATGTTGAGGGCGGCGCCTGGGCAGCTTAAGACCTGTCCCGTCAGCAGCGGGAACACTCCGTAAGTGTGTCCCCGCAGCATGTGCTGCAAGGTGCTATCGCTGAGCACCAGAAAAGGGCCCAGACTGGGAGGTTTGTCCATGGTTTCAGCTGTAGCTGATGGGCCAGAGTCTGTGACACGCGGCCAAGTGGTGAGCTGTGCTCTTCGTAAAACGCAGTTTGTTACGAGAAGTAGCTTCTGCAAGGCGTGTCTGTAATGC